CCCCAGCCTCTGCGCAGCAGCCTCCTCGGGCAGACATGGGCAGCGCTCTCACTGGGGCCAAGCCACATCGCACCCTCCTCCCAGCCAACCGGCCGGTACCGCGGCACCGTCCCGCCGGGCACAACCGGACTCCAAGCTGCCTTTTGGGGCAGAGCCACCCAACGAGCTCACCACCAACCAGGTGTGGGAAACGGGTGTGCTCCACGTTGCGCCGGCACGCTACACCGGAGTCTCCAAAACCGGTTTGTGAGGGGTGGGTGCCCTTTTACGTGCCTGTCCAGCCTCTTTCATCCTGCTATGGCTGTAACTTCTCTTCCCACACACCCTCCCCGTCCGTACCAAGGCTCTCACCTTCCCCAGCAGCGTGGCCGGCCGCGGACTGCCTCGCTTCCCCCGCCGCAGCCTCTGGGCTGGGTTCAGCCTGTGCCGAGCAGCTGGAGGGGGCTGCCAGGCATTACGGGGCGAAGCGTGACGCTCCGCCCCTTCCCCATGTCTCTGGTCCTGGGGGCACGCTGCCTCCGTGCTGAAGGTGACCTCTGGGAGGGAGGAAAAGAGGGGGAACGGGGGGAGGAAGAGGGCTATCCACCTGCCCCATTTATGGAGGGAGAGGTGTTGCAGGGCGCAGGGTGGGGTGGTTGTTTCTGCTCTAGCCACACCATCATAAGCCCCAGGGACCCCTCGGCAGACCCACCCTTTCCAGCCCTTCCCTCCAGCTTAGGCTCTCATTACAGCTGAGGGAGCAAAGCAGCTCCCCGGGCTGGGGCATGGTCCTTGCGCTGGGGCCATGCCGAGGAAGAGTACATTCCTGATGGCAGGGCTCAGAACGACCGTGGGCTGCCAGCGCTTGCTCTTGGCCACCAAGGGGGCTGAGGACATGGCAGTCACAATTGCCTGCGCCAGTAAGCTTCGGAGACCAGGCACAAACCATAACTGGTTCAAGGTTCCCTCATGGGGCCCAGTGGGTGAGGCTCCTCACACACACCAGTACTACAGAGCATTACAGCAAAGCTGAAATTATTAACCGTAACTAAAATGACTTGCAGGCACTTCACCTGTTCTCAGAACCTCCACCCAGGCTACATTCCTGTGCCAAAGTCCTCTTTCTTCCACTTGAGCGTGGAGACGAAAACAGCTCCTGGGGACATGGACACCATGCAGGTCCTAGATCGTCGCTCTGAAGCACTCGTTTTTTCACTCAAGGACACGGATCAGGTTGTGTATCTGAAGCAGTGATGTATGCAGCTGTGATGCAGGAGTGTCACAGCACTGGCCTCCCTCCATTTTAGAGTTGGGGCCATGCAGGGGACCTGTAAGGCTTCAGCTGCCCTGATGAGCTTCTGTGCTCCCTCTGGGGGCACAGTATGGTGAGGAAGGCTGAGAGAGGACAGATGTGAAAGACAGTCTAACAGAGGAGCGCAGAGCAGCCCCCATAACCGTACGTATTCTGGGTCTCCAGCACAGGACTGAACCCTCTTGCCTGCTCCCTCAAGGGAGGGTAGTTACACCAAGGGCTTGTCACTCAGTGCCCTGCCCCACACAGGGGCAATAAGGTGAGATGCACTGGACTGCCATCACAAACCTGTGAAGAGTCAGTCAGCCACCACTCAGAGACGGTGCAAATCAGAGGGCAAGAGGAGTAGCACAGTCAGGCTCCCAGATATCCCTGTGCTTCTGGGTAAAAGGTGAGGAGTGAGGTTGTGGTGCTGAAGACCTAAAAGGTCTTGTGCCATTCAAGGCTGCCCCTTCACACTCATTTTTGAAGGATGCTCCAGTGATTGGGGAAGGCCTTCAATGTGCAAAGTTCCTACAGGCAGAAACATTACAGCTGGGGGTGGTGCCAGCGTGTAGGAGAAACCTCTTCAATATCCAGGCATTCAGCACTGGGCTAAATGGTGCAGTGTAACCACTGCTCCCCAGGAATGTGGCCCCTGTATTATCTAGTCTTCTGAGGGACAGAATGGGTGAGACTGTTGCCTCTACTTGAGACACAAGTCAGAAGGCAAACTGAGAAGAGTCCCTGGGGACTTGCTTGAAGTCGCAGTTACAAGGCAATGCTGGGAAATGAGCCCAGGTTCCCTGACTCCCCAGTCCCTCTATCCTCCACTCCAATCACTAACCCAAACCTTCTTCTAGATCTAGGAACAAAATACAGTAGTCTTCCCGATTTTCCAGCTAATTTTTTAAGAGACGGATTCCTTATGTTTTCTGTTCCTACTGAGAGTGGGCCCTGCTGAGTGGTTTGGCTCAAAGAGACCTCTTTCACAGCCTTACCTGCAGTGCACCAAAAAGTAGCAATCTGGCTGAGGGCTTGCCCCCTGCCTGCAATTCATCTGACACTACATCTGCAGGGCTTGTCATGCATTCCCACAACACAGCCAAAAAGTCACATACTGCGTATCACATCTTTGTGAGACTCTCTGCTCCCTGTTCCCAGAGGACTGGGCACAGAGCAGCTGTTGGAGGTTCTAGGGCCTGCTGTTCTACCAAAGAAGTCAGCATTTGTGCATTTCAGGTCCTCCGTAATTTATCATCTTCACCTATCCACCTCACCCATGCTGCACACCTTTTGTCCTGCTGGCAAGCAAAATATTGGTCAAAATCAACACTAGCAGAGCTGGAAATATGATGTAACCAAGACCACAGAATCATAGAATCATAGAACAGTTTGGGCTGGAAGGGACCTTTAAAGGCCATCTAGTCCAACCCCCCTGCAGTGAGCACGGACATCTTCAACTAGATCACGTTGCTCAGAGCCTCGTCCAACCTGACCTGGAATGTTTCCAGGGATGGGGCATCTGCCACCTCTCTGGGTAACCTGTGCCAGGGTTTCACCACCTTCATTGTGAAAAACTTCTTCCTTCTATCTAGTCAAAATCTGCCCTCTTCTAGTTTAAAGCCATTACCTCTTGTCCCGTCGCTACAGGCCCTGCTAAAAAGGCTGCCCCTATCTTCCCTATAGGACCCCTTTAAGTACTGGAAGGCTGCAATAAGGTCTCCCCAGAGCCTTCTCTTCTCCAGGCTGAACAACCCCAACTCCCTCAGCCTTGCTTTATAGGAGAGGTGTTCCATCCCTCTGATCATTTTGGTGGCCTCCTCTGGTCCTTCTCCAACAGGTCCATGTCTTTCCTATGCTGAAGGCTCCAGAGCTGGACGCAGGACTCCAGGTGGGGTCTCCCCAGAGTGGAGCAGAGGGGCAGAATCACCTCCATTGACCTACTGGCCACGCTGCTTTGGATGCAGCCCAGGCTACAGTTGGCCTTCCGGGTTGTGAGTGCACATTGCTGGCTCATGTCCAGCTTTTCATCCACCAGTACCCCCAACTCCTTCTCAGCAGGGCTGCTTTCGATCTCTTCATCCCCCAGCCTGTACTGATACTGGGGGTTGCCTTGACCCAGGTGCAGGACCCTGCACTTGGCCTTGTTGAAGCTCATGAGGTTCATGCAGGCCCATTCTTTGAGCTTGTCCAGGTCCCTCTGGATGCCATCCTGTCCCTCAGGCTTGTCAACCGCACCACTCAGCTTGGTGTCATCTGCAAACTTGTTGACATTGCACTCCACCCCACTGTCTATGTCACTGATGAAGATGTTAAACAGCACTGGTCCCAATACGGACCCTGCCTAACGACTGGTGATTTCCACAGGAGGAAAGTTGGGTGGGGAGGTCTGTACTCCTGTTTCAGAATTACCCAATGACACATGGCTCTTTAGTTTCCATTCTGTACTATAAGAGGCACCAATAGCATCTAGGGTGATGGAAGATTTGATGTCCATTTGAACCCACAAGAGCACTCTTTGGTGGTACGGAGGCTTATCAGCAGGGATATGTGTGAAAGCAAGCTGCTGAAATATGAACATCAAGGTCCTTTACCAGGACCTAAAATGGTACTGCTCTTTTAATATGGTAGTCTATGGCAATACTCAGGTTGTCTATATAGATTCAAACTGACCATAAGCATTCACCCAGCACATCACTGATGGCAGCTTTTCAGAGCAGTCACAGCCACTTCCTTTCCAGCACTCAGTGTTTCCCAGCCCTTTTCAGAACCACCTTTGTGCCTAATGCTGGAGTGGGAATAGGTCTTTGACTTTCCCCATTGCCTTCCTACTTTTTCTTCTGTTAATAAATCTGTGAGCTGCCAACACTTTCCTCCCCTCCAGCCTCAGCGCGCAGGCAAGCAAGCCAATCTGCAGGGTGCCTCAGCATGGGGGCTGCCTCCTGGACGGAGAGATGGGGCCCTGAGCTCCCCTCGGCACAGGAAGGGTGCTCAGAGGAGTCCACCAGCTGCGCAGACCATTTGTGCTCTGAGGTCATTCAGCGCTACCCCATCGCTGAGGAATCTGCTGGCCGCCTTCCTGACAGCACCGTACAATGTCCCACCTCGCCTGCCAGATAACACAACACATTCATGCTGAGCCCAGGGCTGCTCCGCAGAGGTGCTTCCTGACCATGCTCCCCAGCTTCGGCAGAGCTTCTCACACCCAAAACCTCTGGTCAGCCACTGACTACCATATCTGCTTCAAAACACCCTGCCCATCCCATTTCAACCTACTCCTGTCACGCTGCTATTGGGTGTGTTGGGTGCAGAGTGGTTGCAAGTGGTTGCTACTCCATTAGGATCCATGAGCACTGATCCCAGTGCCTCGGAGCAATGTTGGGGTGGTGCCTTTCTGCCCCAGCACAGGGATGGGGACTCGCAACAGCTGTATTTTCAGCCTTTTCCATTGTTATCTCTCCCAGCCTGTCCTCCAGAGCTTAAAACAATATACAGTATCCAGGATGCACATCAGCCTTCTCCCTGAAGCACAATGACTTATTTGTCACCACAGGTACAGCTAGGGACTGTTTGGGTGGCAGCTCAGTTTGCAGCACCCACCCTAGCCTGGTGAGATGGTGCCATCACAGCAGGCTGAGTTGGCTGCTGCTCTGGATGGCTTGGAGATGGATCCTGGCGAGGCAAGGGTTGTGGTGGGGTTTTGCAGGAGAAAAGACTGGACTTGCAGAGGAAGAGTAGGACTTGGCTGGTAGGGCAGGGACATCAGGTTTTGCTGAGAAAGCTTCTTTTTGTCAAGGCAGAGAGAGCTGCCAGCTTCTCCTAAGCGACAGGGAGCCAGGAGACTGTGGAGGCTCCACGTGGAGACCAAGGCTGGCAGGGCAGGAGGTCTCTCAGGGAGACACTCAGTTTCAGCTGAGAGTCCAGATCATGAAGCGAGCTTATGGTGACGAAGCAGGTCCAAGGTCCAGATGAGAAGTTGATTTGCAGGTCAGGATCAGTCCCAGACGTGGTAGCCAGTGCCAGACACAGTCCAGTGATTGCCAGGCAGGTCTGAGGTCAAGCCAGGACATCAGTCCATGTGCCAGGGTCCAGACAAACAGCATCTATGGCCAGACACAGCCATGAAAGA